GGTTAGGTTAGGTTAGATTATCGGGTTTTGTTCAAGTGACCACCCTCTTTCGATCCCCCACCCCCACCCGCTTGAAAATATTTTTTTTTATTGAATTTTATTTGAATTATAGTGTATGAAAATTATCAAAATAATCAACTTTCAACCCCCATAACTTTTTATGGGGGTGACACCGCCGCAAATTTTTTATGGGGGTGACACCGCCGCAAAGTATTTATGGGGGTGACACCGACTAAGGTGACCACTCTCTTTCGATCCCCCCTACCCTCTTTCAATCCACCCTACCCCTATCCCCATCTAACCCCCATAACTTTTTATGGGGGTGAGACCGCCACGAACTTTTTATGGTACAGTGGTGGGGGGGACCTCCTCTTCGATCCCACTTACGCCATCATCTAGACATTTACCCAAAATTATTATAATTATAGACCAAGAGTAGAAAAACTTGCCGTTCGCGAATTAAGTATTACAGCAATATGCCGTGCACGTGAACTGCGATACATTCATTAATTGGGAAGGCTAAAACAAAGCTTATATACTGCACAAGAAATAGTCTACTATGCACATTATTGGGAATTAGTTGTCGGTATGAGAACGCGCTTATTACTATCTATTCACATCGATAACTTAAATACGTGTTCGAATGGTAGTACAGTCATTTGGTTCAAAAAATAGTGGTTACCTGGAAAGTTTTCCGGGAGTTTTGAAATATTGGAAAAATGGCGCCAAAAAGCAGTTTTTTGACAATATCTCCTTTCCCACTCATTTTACGATAAAAACAGTTATACACAAAATGAAACTAGAGACAATTACCTACAATTTATCTATCTACCTTTGTTTTCATAAAGTCAACAGTTCAGGTGTGCGAGCATCGCAAAGTGTACTCCAACACACATTTTAGCAAAAAAAAACTCATTTCCTCACCACCTTGAAGTAGAGTAAGCGGCGCGTTTTTTTTTTAATGTAGTATCCTCAGTAGGCCTAATCCACATCCAATTTAATATCCTGAAATTTAGCGTATTCTCCTTCGCTTTGTTGTTCTTCCATCTTTAATCCTTTTTTGTTTATTTCAATCACTTCACTTTTTTCCAATGAATTTGCACAAATAAAACAGTTTACTGCATTAGAAGCCATGGCTGTATAAATGTAAACGACACTGTGAAACAATAGACATATACTGATGACTCAGATTAAATATTTCTTTGCGAAGGACAGGCCATAGTGAGTCGGTTTTTTAACGTATAGTATAATATATACAGATATATGAAAAAAATTGGTCTGAGCACATTTTGGTCGGTGCTAATACGACTAACTTCCCATTAGATAATACAGTTATTGTAAAGTACATTCGTTTCTAAAGTTTGAAAAAAACGCGGCACAATAATAAATAACAAACAATGTTTGAGAGTTCGTCATTTTATAAACCCATAAGAAACAGTATTTCGTCTGAGAAAACCGAATTGATAGAGTACTTGCATCAGTCAATTGGTAAATACTATTTTTTATTGTTTATCGATTGTTTATAACAATTCATTTTGTTATAAACAAATTTTTATTATAATATGTTATTATAATATGTTATTCCCTGTCTTGAATAATGATATTTCGTTATTATTGATTCCGTAACTTCATTGTTGTGATTAGATTAGAACGTATTTTAATTAAATTGTTTGTAATTAATTCGTTTTTTTTTTTATAAAAAAAAAACGGCTTGACCGATTTCGTTCAAATTTCTTTCAGATCTTCATTATGATAATATCTTTCGAAAAAATTTTGGTTGAGGGCGATATCTCAATCCGTTCTTGAGATATCGAAAACGAAAAAAATGCTGACATACGAACGTACGTACATACGTACGTACGTACNTAATAATAAAATAACCATTCCACTAGAAATATAAAGATAAATGCCGAAAAATATACAAATAATAAAATGAATATTGAGACTCAACACATTGTATGCAAATAGACAATATTGAAAAAGGATGGTAATATTTAATTTGTTAATATTGAGCACATTGCACAGGTAGACATTGCAGGATTTATCAGAATTTAATAGTAATTTTTTAAAGAAATAACTTATCAGTTGAATGTAAAATTCTGATAAATCGATAATGAAAGAAAAGGACAAGCAGTCTTATCAACTAGTCAGAAACACACTCGCCCAACGCAGAAATACAAAGTAACGAATTGCTACCAAAGGCACAGTTCGACACTCACAAAGAGTACACTTGAATCAACTAGAAACTCGACAAAATTTGGGTAGATACTGATACAAAAGATATAACAACTATCCTAACCGACCGACTGTTAGCGTATATACTTATGCTTAGTCCATTTATCCTATCTAATAACAAACTAATAAGAATAATAAGGCACCAGGTATAGATGGGATAGAGGCGGAAATTCTAAAGCATGCAGGATAAGGGGTTAGAGATCGTATATTTAAGCTAGTTAGTCACATTTGCTAGAAGGGGAAAGTCTCAAAGGATTATAAACGGAACGTGGTAGTTACATACCTAAAAAGAGAGGCGCGTATATGTGCGAGTTATTTAGAACAATTAGCTTAACTTCCCATGCTTCAAAAATCTTAACTAAAATTGAAAAAGGGCGAAAGAACTGTTAGGGGAAGATCAATTTGGGTTTAGAAGAAATAGAGAAACGCAGGAAGCCNACATACCTAAAAAGAGAGGCGCGTATATGTGCGAGTTATTTAGAACAATTAGCTTAACTTCCCATGCTTCAAAAATCTTAACTAAAATTGAAAAAGGGCGAAAGAACTGTTAGGGGAAGATCAATTTGGGTTTAGAAGAAATAGAGAAACGCAGGAAGCCATTCTATAGGGTTGTTCGGAAAGTCATTTCGTTTTTTCCCGACAGAGGATTTAATTGTACTCTTTTGCACCCAACTTCATTTAAGCCGTATAATTTTTATATGGTTTGAGAGCTCATATAGCAAGGCTTGTGTGTGAAAAATTCCAATTAATTCTACGCAGTGGGGACGAAAAATGGGTTGTATACAACAACGTCAAACGCAAGAGGTCATGGAGCAAAAAAGATGAACCGGCTCAAACCATTTCCAAAGCCGATATTCACCAAAAAAAGGTGATGCTGTCTGTTTGGTGGGATTTTAAAGGAATCGTTTTTTTTT